TGTCCTGGGATTCCGTAGCATCTTCTGGAGTGACATGCACACGATGAGGTTCTGTGTCCAAGAAACCGCGGTGGCGAGCATGCAGGGACCGCCCGCGGCGATAGGCTTGAGGGCATCAACAAGGCGATGGGAACAATGGCTCGAGTCCCGGTTCCACTTTTGTCAAGGAGACGCCGCGAAACGACCACGACCACGCGGCCTCTCGTTGCCGTCCGCAGTGTAGAGGGGGGGACGTCCCGTGTCCGGCGGGACGAAAGCACCGCTAAGACAAAGCCTTTGTTGTTTAGGGGGGAGTCAGCTGAACAGTAAATGCTTCGGTTCGTGTTCCGAACTGGCAGAGGCTTTTTTTTATCTTGAACGGAGTATCGCAAACTCCGCTACGGCGCTTTCGCCCCGCCGCACATGCAATGTCCCTCTCCTGCACACTTGGAACTGACAATCGCGAGAGGCAGCAGCGTCGTGGTCGTTGTTTTGCGGCTTCTCCTTAACAATAGTGGAACTGGGACTCGAGGTAACTTTTCCACCGCCACTGAAGAGCTTGTTGATGGCCTTAGGCCTGATCTCCCTTGTGCTAGCCACCGTGGTTTCTTGGACACAGAACCTCATCGAGAGCGTGCCATTCCAGACGGTGTTGCTGAATGCCAGGACAAGCTAAACGAATAAACTTCGAGTTTGGCATTCGCGCACTGCTTGGCGTTGAGGTCAAACCGTGCGCGAATGTCAAACTCGAAGTGTATTCGCTTAGCTTGTCCTGGGATTCCGTAGCATCTTCTGGAGTGACATGCACACGATGAGGTTCTGTGTCCAAGAAACCGCGGTGGCGAGCATGCAGGGACCGCCCGCGGCGACAGGCTTGAGGGCATCAACAAGGCGATGGGAACAATGGCTCGAGTCCCAGTTCCACTTTTGTCAAGGAGACGCCGCGAAACGACCACGACCACGCTGCCTCTCGTTGCCGTCCGCAGTGTAGAGGGAGGGACGTTCCGTGTCCGGCGGGACGAAAGCACCGCAGCGTTGTTCGCGATATACTCGGAGTAAGATAAGAGGAAGAGCCTCTGTTCTTGAGGGGGCAGCTAACTCCAAACCGAGGGAATCATGTACAGGTAGGCTGCGCTCCGGTGCCGTGCTGCACAGCGCTATGCTAGATGCGGCCACCGTTCTTGTTCCAAACTGGAGGTAGTAGTTCAGCCTTGCGAGGGTATTCCAAACGGCGTTGCAGCACGTTCACCAGCAGACGTTCTCCTCCTCTCGCAACATGTATCCTGGTCGCGATGCCTGTACTGTATGTCGACGGCCTGGCGGGCTCTAGCCAACCCTAGCCAACCATTATCCTTGCTGGTATCACGCTCTCGTTGCTGTTGCTTGTTCCTCGCGAGTTCGAGTCTCGGCAGCAACATGCCCTCTTCGGCGTGACTACGACTGACTGCTGCATTGCGTCTTGCAACATTCAGGGGGCAACGCATGGCTACATCGACGGTCGACGTTGTGACTTCCTGCTGGCACCAATCATGACACCCGCGCCTTGCCTTCTTCTTGTCCCGTTTCTCTCTCTCTCTCTCTCTCTCTCTCTCTCTCTCTCTCTCTCTCTCTCTCTCTTTCTCTTTCTCTATTTCTCTCGCGATCGCCATGTTTTGTTACCCACAGCTGACGCCGGCCATGGTCCCAACCAAGAAGAAGCCCCGCAGAATGAAGACTAGGGCGAAATCTACCCCCCACCTCCCCCGTCTTGCAGGCATGGATAATCAACCCCGCCCCGGCTGGCCCCATGTGCCTACCCTCTCTCCGAAAACCCTACCACCAAAGCTAAAGCTACGGTTGCTCCCCTAAACCTGGCTAAACCTTGTGCTTTGCACTTGCCATGTAGTCCCAGCATTTGACGCATCTTCCTGAGATGCCCCTTGTCTCTTTGCGGCATGCTGCACAGCACGACTTTGGCACAACCTCCTGCTGCTGCCCCGCCACGTACCACGCCCAGCAACATCCCTACAACGCAAAGCATATCGAAAGCACAGTAATATTCTTACGCGGTTCCCTTGAGAACACGTCCTCGCTCCGACAAAGCATCACGCCTCCCTCTCCTTCCTCCTCCCCCCCCCCCCTACCTCAGAACAAGAACGCGGCCGAGGCCTCCAAGCAGCAAGAAAAAGACAACAAGACCATCCAGGCAGCCAAGGCAGAGGCAGCCAAGGCAGACCAGGAGCGTGAGCGCATCGATCGCGAGAAGACCGAAGCCGAGGCCAAGTGGCGAGCGGCGGATGCAAGGGCGGAGGCTGCAGAGGCCGAGGTCGCGGAAGCGCGGGGAAGGCTGGAGAGGGACGTGGCAGAGGCGAGGGTGCAGGCCGCCGCCGCCGCAGTGGAGGAGAACGCTAACCGCATCACGGACGGCGGGCTTGCTAGGTGAGGGTGGAGGAGGAAGCGAGGCGAAGATAGGGCGGGAGGTGGCAGAAAGCGATATAGATAGGATAGGGACGTTGAGCGCCGTGAAGGTAGGAGATGAGGTAGTACCTTGTCGTGCTGTGATCGGAGAGGAGGCAAGAGAGCGGCACAGCAGTGATGTAGATCAACAAGAAATGTGGGCCTTGCACCTTCTAGTGGTCGTGGAGCAATCGATCTTTAATGATCGATCATACACCTGTGCGTTCGCCCCGCACACTCCTATGCGGCACCACCTTGTTTTTGTTTCTTGGAAACTCAAGCCAAACAGATTATAGCGCCTGCGGTGTATTGGACGTTGATTCTTAATTCAATGTGGAACTCCTCCCCCGCCCCCCCGCCCCCAAAGGCCGAACCTCCGCGTTCTGTTGGCTCTCGTTGACGACCAAATGATCTTGATAAGAAGTGGTCTACGAACACGCGGATCGTAAAACGTTGAACGCGATCACCCCACGGTGGAGACCATGAAAAAATCGTCGCTCCCGATGCCGAAAAAAAAAACATTTAACTTTAGTCGTGTGCAACCGCGCTGAAGCTCTCGAGGTCCCTCTTGTTCGCTCACTTTCCATCCGGGGGCTCCGTGAAATGAAACCGCCGCCCAGGCTCCAGACGGAACTGGCGGTGAAGGTGTCTGAGCTGAGGCTGCAGACTGACAAGGCGTTGTCCCTGGAGGCGCAGAAGGAGCGGGCGGAAGTGGCCGCTGTGAAGAGGGAGAGGAGCCTTCAAGACCTTATGGAGAAGAACAGGCAAGCGACAACCAGAAAAAAAATTTTCTTTTTTTTTGTACTTGTGTTGCTGTTTTTTTTTTTGGGGGGGGGGGGGCGGGGTATTCTTTATTTTATCGGGCTTGTGTTTCCTTTTGTTTCCCTGTCCTGTCCTTTTTTCTTGCTCCCCTCCTTTTCCCTTGATTTCGTTCCTCTGGATTCCTTCTCCTCTCTTCCTGGTATCTATCGTGGAGGTTATTTCCTGGTTGGCTGAAATGTCCAGCAGAAAAGGCACCTTGTTCATCCCGCGTTTTTTTTTGTTCAGTGAGCACTGGTGTGTTTTCCTTACGTCTTTATCTGCACCCCACCCCGCGTCAAACAGCCTCTCTTTTTTGTTTTTTTCCCCAATGTTTATACTCTGTCCAAAAAAAACAAAACAAAACAGGGCGAGGTACGAGAAGGCGAACCTAGAACTTCAGGAGGAAGTGGAGGCACTAAGCCAACTCAAGGTATGCGAAGAAGCACAAAGAGTGAACTGATTTTTGACGCGCCATGCATGTATGGCACGGTGTGCTGTTTTTATCATTTTGCTCCTGAACTGTACTGGAGTAATTCGGGCAATCGTTGTACATAGCTGCTTCGATCTCGAGAAGAGGAGGTAAGGCACAGCAGGGGAATGGCAGCACAGAGAGAGCGAGTCAGAGAGCGAGTCAGAGCGAGAGAGAGAGAGGAAGAGGGAGAGAGACAGATAGAGAGAGTAGAGAAGAAATATACTATCGAAAACAACACGTGCAACCACTTCCTTTTAGAGCACGATGACCCTTACCTCTTGTAGGCATATTTGCTTTTGAACTCCCCGCTGATTTGTATGGTCTTGTTTTTTTTTTGTCTTTTTCTCGACGTTTTGTGTTCTGTTTTGAATTTCCCAGGACGCCGCGGCCGGGTTCGAAGACGCCAAGATCAAGCTGGAGCTGGCGGACAAAAAGTCGGCTGAGCTCGAGAAGGAAGCTTCTTCCCTCAAGGAGAAGGTTCGTGCCTGTTTCACTCTTTCGTTCTTCAACTATAGTAGATTCGATCGCCCTAACCTGCTGGCGAATGAAAAGAATACGTCAGTCTTCATGGCGAGTTTCTGATGCTCTCTGACCACGAAAATAGGTTTGCCGTACACGTACTGGAAACAACCGGAACCCCCGTGCCTACGTTGCCTTTCGACCACCGTTGCGGCGCAATCTGTATCGGTCGGGAGTTGCGCCCGAGAATTATCCCAACGAAAGCGCTTCCATCCCACCCGACATGCCGTTGCGGTGCAATCTGTACCGGTTGGGGGTGGCGTCCGAAAACAATCCCGACGAAAACCCCTTCCATCCAACCCAGCATACCGTTGCGGTGCATTCTGTGCCGGTTGGGGTGTTCACGTAGTGGTAGTTTCCCGCCCAAAACACCTTCCATCCAGCCCAACATACACGCCTATCTTTTCTTTGTGCAGATGACGGGCCTTGACAAGAAGCTTGCCGCGAGCGTGGACAAGTCGGTAGAGGAAGCGCTACTGTTGGTGAGCAAGGAGGCCGCTCTCAAGGACGTCGAGGCGCAGCTCACGGCCGTCAAAGACCGGGCCAAGGTCCTCGAGAAGGAGGCTCTCAGGTGGGTGGGTGCGCTTGCGGCATAAGGGCGTTTTTCTTAGAAAGTATACTATATGACAACACGGAAAAGTCTACCGGTTCGAGATATTTCCACAGTCAGTCGAAGAGGATGTGTTGCAGTCTTTACAGTGAGTGGAGGAAAACCGGCTGGAAACTTGGCTGATTTTGTAGAAAGATAGCCTATGTGTGTGTTTTTTATTGCTGGCATCGACCGCGCTAGCCGGCTGGCCAATGAAAAGACGAGAGGGTGGCTGAAAACAGAAAATGCCTCTGAAGGCTGTGATCTGGGACCTTTTGTGTGTTGGTGTGGGTGGGTGTTTTTTTTTTTGCATCGGCCATGCGAACCAGCCCACAAATTCAAATGTTTCAGGAAGTACCACAACGGGAATCCGTATCTGAAAATGAGGACCACAAAAAGGGGAATAAAACAGTAAAACAATACTTCTGTTTCTTTTATGTGGGTTGGTGTGTTGATGTATGGTTTGGTCGGTGTGGGTGGGGGCCTTGTCGCCCTCCCTCTCTCGCCGATATTTCGCCTGTTCCCGGTTGTCAGTTGCTTTCATGCCGCATGTAACGACATTTTCCTTGATCCGTTTTGACCTGTGTCGCAGTAATTCTTCGGATATATTGTAGCATACTTTGAAGTGCATATTCAATCGCAAAAAGGCTACCCGTTGGAAGTAACACCACAAATTCTGTTCGGTTGTCGGGCGGACCGGAATTGCAGGGTCCCGGAGTTGGAGGAGGAGCTAAAGGATCAGTCGGAGGTGGCGCAGAAGGAGAAGCGGCGAGCGGACGAGCTCCAAGCCATTCAGGACAAGGAGGAAGCACAGACCGAGCTGGTAAGAAGGAACGAACAACGAGAGGATGAGAGGGCACACCACCTACCCACCCTCCTCATAGCGGTGCAGTCCGTTTCGTGCTGGCTACGGTACTGATATCTATGCTGGTATTTTCTGTTGTACTTAGCTGGTTTCGTTGGTGCAGCTTGACGGTGGATTGGACTTTATAGTTGTCTGGCGATGACTTATGAGCATCGAGAATCACGGCAACAACACCACCAAAACCAACAAGCCGCTCACGACAACGAGCGCCCGCCACAAGAGCAACATGAACCAAGTAGCAAACAACAGCTCAACAACAGTTACCACTTGGCTGCTGCCGCACGCTGATAGGTGAAAGAGCGGCTGTTTGACCTGGAGCGGTCTGTGGAGATGGCCGAGTGGAGCGAGCGGAAGCTGGCCAAGGAGAATGAGGGCCTTCAGGGATTGATCAGCCGAAACCGACAGAGGTATGTACAGTATGCACCATGCATGCATTGAGAGCATCGAGAGCATGCGCACGTGTGTGATGACGTGTCCAGTTGCGACCAGAAGAGACCGCCCATACATAAAGTGAGCCAATCCATTTTTCCTCTAGCGTAGCATGGCAAGGCTTTAACGGACTGAAATAAGTGCAATATCCTGCAGGTGCCCCGTCAACCCTCACTGCTGTAGAGGATTCCCAACACATGCCTTCGAACAGGGTGTATGTGTGTGTTCGTCCCATTTGTTCTGGCGCCGGTTTACAGGCCTTTCGGCGTATGTATATACCTGACGTTTAAGCCGGGGTCACACTAGAGGAAGGTCACACAAGGAGCTATTTTCGTTATTTTTTTTAATTGCCCCCACCTTTCCCGCTGCGGTGCTTGGTATATGTCGTCTCGAACAACGGGCAGTCTTTCTTTGATGTTGTTCTTCGATTTTGTATGAATTTTCTATTTGAAGAAGATTGCCAAACGGAGAACATTCAGAAAAAAAAATTGTCGTCGTGCATGCTCAATCGGTTAACAACAACGTTTTTCGCGCCCGAGACATGCGAACGAATACAGAATACAGAAGCAACATCAACCGCAACCTATTTGAGTGTCAAATCACACGAATGACACACGCTGCACCCTTTCTTTCCATTCGCATGATTGGTATCCACCTTTTTTTCTTCTTCTTCATTTTTTCATCTTTCCTCTTCCTCCTGTCCGGCGTACGCCTCAGGTTCCACAAAGAGCTGGCGAGGCTGACGGTGGCGTCAGCAGACCTCGAGGATAAGTCGAATGCGCTTAAAGATCTGGAGGCGGTGTATGACCGGGAGAGGCAGACCGTCAAGGAGCTCGGCAACCAGGTATGTGTGTTTTGTTGTAGACACCTGGATCGTTTTCTTTTTGAGATGCAGGTGGGGCGTGATACCTTATCTACATACGAACACTAACCCTTACTCACCCACTTCCCTTGTTAAACGACGAGATGTTCTGTGCCCAGAGAAACATGATGAACACAGCCATGAAGCACGCTGCATGCGTGTTCGGAGTGTGCGTTTGTCCTTTCCTTGAAAGGGAGGCAACGACGAGGCGATAGTCGATGCGACCATCCCAATCCACCGTTGGCCTACAGAGACAGCAACAGCAACAGCAGCAGCAGCAGCAGTGTTGCGTTTCGCAGTATAGCGATGTTGCGTTTCGCAGTATATATATGTTTTTCGCTTCCAGTGCGACGTCGTCCTCTTGAACAGATGGACAATACACACGCACACACACACAACACAACAGGTGGAGACCCTTAAGGCCAAGGCGGAAGAGTTGGCGGCCGAGCTGTCTATGACCCGAGACGAGCTGGCCAGGGAAACCGAGATGCGCCTGAAAGCTGAGACGGCTGTTGAAGAGTTGCAGCTGGCGGAGAAAGCAGACAAGTGAGATAGTTATTACTTTAAGAGTGCACCGCCGTGGTGTTTTTTTTAATTTATTTTTTTGGGGGGGGGGTGGAGGGTAGAAGCAGAAGAAACAATTCAACCAAACTAAACCAGAGAGACCTACAGGCAGACAGGGAGGCAGGCAGGCGGGCAAAATATGAGAGAGAGAGAGAGAGAGAGAGAGATGAAACAGCATTCGTTAGGAGTACGTGAAAAGATCATTGTGGCCGTGGAAAAAAAGTCTAACATGGCGTCCTGCTGTTGCGTTCCCAGGGGGTACGAGGAACAGCTCAAGAAGGCCGATGCAGCTCTGCAGGCTGCACGGCAAGAGGGCCAGGCAGCCGTGGCGGAGGTGCAGACTCTGCTAGAGAAGGAGAAGCAAGCTTGGGGCACCGAGAAATCATCTCTGACCACCCGCCTCGAGGAGGTATGTATGTGTGCCTGTCCGTGTGCCCCCCTCCGCGTCTGTTCTCGTTCTTGCTGCTGCTTTGTTTGTTGCCTGACAAGTTCAAGTTCTTCATCCATGTGAAGAGTACCTCAATCTTAGATCTAGGGCGACGGTTGGGGTCAGGATATCTAGCGCATGACGGTTGGGGTTAAGATATCTAGCGCATGACGGTTGGGGTCAGGATATCTAGCGCATGACGGTTGGGGTTAAGATATCTAGCGCATGACGGTTGGGGTTAAGATATCTATCGCATGCATGCTAAGAAGTGGGCATACTTTGGAAGTGCCGGCTGGATTGCCGGGGACTTTCCCTTTCCACGTGGGTTCTTCTAGCTTTTCTGCTTGCCCGAGGAGTGCTTTGCCCTTTGTTCACAGCTCGACGTATTTTTCACAACACATTTGTTTTTTTACGTCTCTTCCGACAGGCGTTACGGTCTACGGAGGACTTCTCGGCTCGTGTGGTGGCGCTGGAATCGTCAACGGAGAAGCTTCGGCAAGAGTCGCAGCAGAGCAAGGCGGAGGTGATGACCTACTCCGTAACTGTACCTTTTTTATGTCGTTTTTTTTTTCTTTTTCTTAATATTGAGTAACACAGTAAATCCATCTCCAACCCTTTGTGTGATTGGAGTACGCGGCACGAACGCTGTAGGCGCTGATTTGAAGTGATGACAAAAAAAAAGAAATCCATACAATAGATACTACAAGGGTCTAGGATGAATATAGTAAAATTTATCTATACACAGCGCCAAACAAAGCGTGTTGTTTCCTTCGGGTACATGAACAATTTGAACTGCACCACGACGCTATGAGCCGCACCACGCGAACTCACACTCTAGAGGTTCAGAAGGTCAACTACGCTTCACCACGCATACCAACTGAACCACAGGGGCGTCACAACCAACTACCGAGTAGCGGTATATCACAACTTGCCTCCCCATCTGTCTACTTGTCTAAGATGTAACGCTCCCTTTACATGTACTGCTGTATCGATGTACAGGCCGAGCAACTCCGCACTCAGCTTGGGCTGTCTGCGAAGTCTTTGAGCGAGGCTACGGTAGACAAGGAGCGTCTGGTGACGGAACTCGAGAAGACCAAGGGGGTCGTGGAGGAAAGGAACCGCCTGCAGAAGAGGTGCGGCACCATGCAATCTAGCACTTCCGCTGCTGTCGCTCTTCTCTTATCTGTTTAGCGCTCGTTCTCTCGTTGCCGTTGCTGTGGCTCTTGTCGCTGTCGCTGTCACTAGTTAATGTTGGGTTCGGGTACCGCAGTACTCGAGTGGTCCGCCCCTGTGTATGGCGGCACGAGCAAGGTCGGTCTCCCTGTATGAGACCGGCGAGTTGGCTTTGGCGTGACACAAGTGGAAGATTAAAGTACCTGAACAGAAGGTCAACCAAGTTCCGCGGCACTTTGAGGCCTTATACCAGGACCACCGCTGTATTTGGTAGAACGTACGGACGTGCCTTACACGTGAATGCATGCCCTCACACATGGTACACAGAAGAGTGACCCCCCCCCCCCCCCCCCCTCTTCCCGCCTTGGCGAACATCCAGCGTCGATAACCTAAAGGCAGCTCTCAAGAAGTTCACGGGTAAGCAGGACGACGAGAGCGACAACAACGGCGCTACGCTGGAGAAGGAGGCCGAGGTGGATGCCCTCGAGCAGGCGCAGGAGCGGCTCTCCAAGACAGCGGCGACTTTGTCAGGCGAAGAAAGCAGTAAGTTGGTAGGTAAAAGGGGGCGAGGGTTTGACAGCCTCTTCCCTCGGCTCTCTAGATCGTCTTCATTGTTGGCGGCCCTTTAAGGGGGCTTTTTATTTTGTGGCCTTCTGCGAATGGACGCTCTTGGTCTTGATAACCTCTCTGGCCTGGTGTCCTGGGTCGATTGTCTACAGTGCGGTGTGCCCAAACTCTTCTTTTTTACAACACGGCAGCACTCTTTCCTGCAGCGCTGCCTTTCTTGCTTTTCTCAACTGCGGGGTTGCTCACACTATATGCAGCAATTCCGCACCATCACAGAATCGCCGCAAGGACACCCTCCCGAGCGGACAACACACACACGCCGGAATCATGCTTGGGCTGAAAAACAAAAACGAGAGTGGTCATTTACAGCTCCGACCCGTATCCACATACTCTGACCCCCCCCCTACCCGTTGGAATCCCCCCCCCCAGGAGACGACTAATGACCCGGACATCGCGGAAAACATTGCGGCCGTGGACGCAGTGAACGACTTTCTAGAGCGGTCACAGGTGATGGTGGATGTATCGGGGGATGTGGGTTCCGACGACTTCTTGGAGAGGTCGCAGGCGGAGGTGGCGAGGTCGAGCGGCTCCGACAAGTGGAGCTCCCCGCGGTGGTCCAAGGACGGGGGATCTTAACCTCAATAGCGACGACGTGTAGATGGCTTTGGATGAATTGGTGGCTTTGGGTGCTGGAGAGACGGATCTCATAGCCGCGGTATAGTTGGCCGTCGGCGTTGCTGAGGTAGAGGCAGTGCCGTGGGTTCAATGGCATAGTATACCTTGCACACACAGTAGTGGGTTTGTCGGCGCGATAGCTCACGGGATGTATCGACTCAAGTGGCACGCGGGCATAGATGGGTTCAGAGGGAACGGAGAGGGTTGTCGTGGTGTTGGTGAACCCCTTATGTTTTGGAGCATTCGTTCCTTTTTTTGTCCTGTTTTGCCCCTTGTTTCCCCCCCTTTGAGTCGAAAGTGACTTTGTTAGGTAGAAAGACAACGATGCCATTGGATATCGCGGCGTACATGTGTTCCCTTGGAAGTGCAATTTATCCATAGTTGATGTGCTTTACGAGGGAGATGATCAAAAACAGAGAAGTAATTAGTCTGGTCGTCAGTTTTGAACGGGAGAGGGAGGTGTTGCTTTGTGTCAGTTAGTTTTTAGAACCGCGTCTTTCTCTCTCTCTTTTTTTTTCGTTTTTGTTTTTTTGCTGTTGCAGAGAGCGGACCAGGCAGAGAGCTATTTGCTTGTTTAATTGCGCCCGAGAATGCGCAGCACGTACACGCAGTTGGCAGGCGTGCGAGCGAAAGTTCTTGCACGTCTAGGTTGTTGATTTTTTCTCAAGTCGTGAGAGGAGGGACTTGGAACTGAAGCAGAAAATAGGAGGTAGTAGGCCTCTCCACGGCCCGCAGCGACGGGCTCTAGATATGTTCTGTTGGGGTTGTTGGTGGCAAGAACGAGAGCGGCCGTCGGAGCGCTGCTTTTGGTTGCCATCGGTGTTCTTTTCTAGAAGGGGAGGACGCTGAAAGGTCTCATTTAGTTACGTTTCGTATTTCCCGTGTCGAAGTTACACACATGGTTTCTTTTTTTGGCTGTTGCGGGTGGTTGCCGCCTGACTCCAAACGGAAGCAGCCGGTCGCCAGTGTAGCTGTGTATCATATCCTTTCACACGAAATTGTCTCTTGTATCTCTGTATGTTCAAGCGCTTGTTCGATGTTCACGCGCACTTTCAACAAAAGGCTTTTCCTTGACTCTCCCGTCTTTGCTGTGTGCGAGATCATGGGGAACACACGACACCCATTGTGCTCTGTACTCCTGTCGTTGGGGACGGTTTGACTTTCCCTCCGTCTGAGTGGGATCATGAGCGCGCCGTGCCTACTGCGGCCGAACTGGACGTCATGCGCGGTGCGTCCTTTTTGTTTTTGTCAACGATCGCGAGGAGATCGGGACGACTCTTCTGACCCTTTCCCAGGATCCGTTTTTTCGTTTTTTCTGTTTGTGCGGTTCCTCGATCCCTGAAAGACAGACTCGAAGAGGGCGAAAAACGGCGAATGGTCATGTCATATATCTGTCTGTTGCGCTCGTTCGTCGTTCCGAGGTGATCGATGCAAAATTGAACACAACGTAGCCAAGTAAATCGAGGCTGACCTCCTGAGCAGTGAGATGATCGGCGTCAATGCCGCCTAACTAAGTGACAGCTCGATTTGTGCTTCGACTCGTCTCAACGAGGCCATTCGGTGGTGAAAAAGTGGTGGTCTGGTGCGTTAGATAGACTCTTTCTCTCTTTGTCTCGCTTGATCACGATTCTTTGTCTTTTTTTCCTTGTGCCGAAGTCTATCCAAACGCTGTTGGTAGATGTTAGATGTACAGCATAATAGTATCCACTATGCTAAGCGCTGACTTGAGGCATAATAGTGGATACGCTGCACATGTAACAAGCGCCTGGCCCCCATCTCCCTTCTCTCCCCCCCCCCGTCTGTCTCTCGATCTCTTCCTCTCTCTGTTCTGAAGCCTTCGAGCGTGGCAACATCAAGAAGGACGAGTGGCATGATGGTTGACATTGATAGGTTGTGCGGTATCGCGGATCAAGAGTTCCAGTCCCAGCAAAGCTCGTCTTTTCCCCACATTTGACTTTTTTTTGGCGCGGTTGCTCTCGCGCGTGTTTCGTTTTTTCCCGCCATGCTCACTCCTCGTCCATACCCCAGTGGTACAGCAGTAGTTCAAGCCAGTCAATTGCATAATAGTCTATAGAAATATATACCCGTAACGTGTTTGTGTGTGCACATTGCATAAAATAAATGTGCACACATGCCGCACTGCATGCTGCCATCTATGTGCTGTAAAGTAGCCAATCTAACCCAACTGCTGGTGGCACTGTCGTCATAAATTCGGCCAAAGATAAAGGGGGCACAAGGCTCTCATTATGTCTTCCCGCGTGAGAACTGCTGCGCTGGTGCTTCGCATGAATCGGATATATTTGTGTGTGGTTTTGTGTGTTGGTCGGGTTTAATCTAAATGGAACATGGTTCAACACGGTTTAGCATCGGAGATCAGCCCCAGGTGCCCGCTTGTGGACGCACAGACAGATATTCGAGATTGGGTGCCGGCAATAACACATGTGCGGCGGGCAGGTGTTCGCTTCAACTCGTAGACCCGTAGAGCCAGTAACAACATCATCAGCATCATCATGATCTTTCCACATGCATGCATGCATGCGATGTGTGCATTTGTTGAGGTTTGTGGTTGTTGTTGTTGTTGTTGTTGTTGTTGTTGTTGTTGTCTTCACATGGTTGCAACGGCAGCAAGCGTTCACCCGCAGGTGCACGAATAGAGTCGCGGCCGCATCAACCACAAGAATCGAGTGCGAGGAGGTCGGGGCGGGTCCGAACGTGGAGCGTTCGAGCTCAGAGAAAGCTAAATATCAGGTCGTACGGGTGCGTGCGTGGGTGCGTGCGGTGCAAAAAAGTTGCGTACAAGTAGTGCGCGTTGTTTGGCGGGCGAACTGTCAAATTTCAGCCAATCAGAATCAGTGTTTGCCTGGCATCTTTGCTAACAGCTCACAGCTCATCAAAGCAACAGCAGACCAAACTGACCCTTGCCTGATCCCCTGGTGCTTGCTGTAATGTCGGACTAACCCAAAGCGTACAGCAGTGGACGGTGGTATCGCGGAAACCTTCTGGAAGCAAAAGTATGAAGCTGGACAGCTTCTGCGGCGGGCTGTGGTGCCTCGTGGTCTCGGCATCGATGTCCTATGTCGGCGGGTTCGTTGGTGAGTTACGCTACATGCACATGTGCATGAATACATGCAAGGCGACATTCAACTGCAGTACAACCACACTCCCAGGGACAAAGGAGGTATCGTCCCTCAACCATCAACCACCATTACCCCGCAATGAAGCCTGGTTGTACGGACAACAATTCTACAAGCAACCCCGACAATCTCTCATTTGTTGCCGCCGTAACCCTGGCCGGCGTTGGCCTCATCTCCGGTGTGCTTGGCCAATTGTTGGTCAAAGACGGTGCGCTGCCCCGCCGTGAACCCGGCTACTGCTGTCCTCGCCTTGAGCGGGGCGGCGGCTGACAGGCCAAAGAGCGTGGTATCTGGGCGGGCGGAGACAGGAGCAGGAGCCCCACGGAGGGGGGTGGTGAGGAGGGAGCAGCTTTGCGGGCGACACCACGGATGCGGCGTTGGGTAGCGCGGTGCTGATTCGAGTCGAAATCGTCGATCGGATTATGACGGTCGTCGATGGCGGCTTGTTCTTCGTGTTCCGCCAGGTCGATAGCGTTTTTCCGATCGCGCTGCTGGCGCTTCAGGGCGCGCCATCGACGAGCGTCATAATCCAAGCAGCACCACGCTACCCAACGCCACATCCGTGGTATCGCCCCCAAAGCTGCTCCCTCCCCACCGTCACCCTCCGGGGGGCTCCTGCTCCTGTCTCCGCCCGCCCCGACGCCACGTCCTTTGGCCTGTCAGCCACCGGCCGGCTCGAGGCGAAGACAGCAGTAAATAGCCGGTTCACGCCGGGGCAGCGCGCCATCTTCGACCAACAATTGGCCAAGCACGGCGGAGATGACGAGGCCAGGGCCGGCCAGGGTTACAGGGGTGAGAGATTGTCGGGGTTGATTGTCGACTTGTTGTCCGCGGTGGACGGTAGTGGTGATGCTGCCGCTGCTGCTGCAGTTTCATTGTTGTTGTTGTTGTTGTTGTTGTTGTTGTTGTTGTTGTGTTGTTCAAATAGTTGTTCACAGAGTTGTTCATGAGTTGTTGTTGCCATTTGTTGCCTGTTGTTGTTCGTTGAAACTCAGGACACGCGGCGAGTCGCGAGACACGATACTCTCAGTCAGAAGCCCCGAGAACCATCAACCCGTGATTCCCGATTGGATTTACGGAAGACTATCAACCCATCGTGATGCTCGTTCCGCCTACCTGTAATACTTGCGCACAGATAGAGGTATACGTACAACCGTCGGCCTTTGGTTCTACAGCTTTGCGTCAGAAATTGGTCCTCTGTTGCAAACTTGAACCAGCCAGACGGAGAGTCTTCCCGAATATGATACGGCGAACAGTTACAATCGGGGCCTTGATGACACTCACGCCAAGCAGGAACGTCGCCTTCGGCTCTCACGCCAGCACCCCATCGCACGCGAGCGCTAGAAAGCATGAGCGAGCACCGTGGAGTTCCTAAACGAAGAAGGCTTCTTTACGCGGAGGGAGGAGGCGGGGGCCAGGAGTCAGTGGAACCAGCTGCGGTGTTACGAACGGCGGTGGAGACTCGTAAAGGTTGAGGTTTTCTTGCAACGAGCTGTTGGGGAATAGGCCAGGGTATAGTCTGCGCTTGTGACCTCGTCGAATCCGGTGCTACGCGAGGCGAAGTTTGAGTCTAGAGAACGCGGTGATCGCGTACTCGCGGGGAGCGGCCTTATGCATGCGCAAACAAATCCACGCCGCAGCAGGTGATAAGCATCAGGGACGGGTATTGCGTGGATTTGTTTGTTTGAGCGACTGAAGAAGAAGCGTGCTGCTTCCTGCACGTGGTACGTAATAACTCTGTGCCCGCCGTGCGGGCCTCCCACATCTGATTTGTGTTTTCTTTCAAACTATTTGATCTTCGCAATCGACAATCAGTGCCAATGACGGAGGTGTCCGAGGCGCTGAGGGTTCTGGCGGCAGATGGTGGCTCCCCGCTGGCTTGCGGAGGTACGTACGCGCATGTGCGACGCTCAGCCACAAAACGTTTTCTTGTGGGTTTCCTCGAGGAGTGCGAACGTGGGGGTCCTCGCCCTTCGCCGATTCTTGTGAGGGGGTCGTCGGTACGGTGAATCTCCCACCCCCTTCCCCCAACGGACCGCCTTCGCGGGAAATTCAGTATTTCAAGGAAAATACAACAGGGAGGGGGGTACGCAGACTCTATTCCCTAACCCTAACCCTAACCCAACTTCCCCGATTGTATGCTGTATCCAACATGTTTCCTGAATACAATGCACCCAGCGAAGGCTACTGCCCCGAACAGAAGTAATCCCTTGATATGCAGCCCTGAGACAAGGTCATACTCGAAGCGTATCATTAGCACCGGCCAAAATGAGTGAAGAATACCGTCACAAAACGACGCCACTCGTGGCAGCACACAATCCGTCCGTCACGCCTAGCCCCCCCCAACGTCTGACCCCTCTCGCCCTCGCTCGACCCCCGTGTATTCTCGAGAGAGCAGCCGAGGACGTGGAGGGTAGCTGGGAGCTCGTTTTCAGCACCCAGCTCAAGAGCGGGTACATGCCGATCCGTGAGCTGGTCGGCTTCTACCCGTCCCGCGAGGAGGCCTCCATCGACGCTACGGCTGGGCCGCTGCCAATCGGGGGGTACGTGGATGACTTTATTTCAAGCTGAAACATGGCGTCCACCAAGAGCTAAGGAAAATTTGGGGCTCTTGGCATGATTCTTTGCCCACACCACACACACTGCTCAGGCCACACGCGTTGCACAAGCTAGGCCACGCAAACCGTCCCTCTTCTCCCCAACAAGAGTGCTCTCGAGCGCTGCTGCTGCTGCTGCTGTCGTATTGATGCGGCTCTCCCTTCCCCTCGCCAAAATACCGCCGTGACACCCTCCGCCGCCCTCCCGCTTGGCCCCCGAACTGCAGCATGCGCGGCAAGTGCTGGTGGAGGGGGGGCGAGGAGAACGAGTTGGCGTTTATGCTGGGTGCCGTGAAGCTAGGCCCATTCAAATTCGGCAAGGACAAGAACGAGGTCAAGACGTACAAGTTCTTCGTAAACGACGGAAAGGTGCGCCGTCGGGAGAACCGTGGCGAAACTCATGCCGGTTCGTTTCGGGAGATTGTCACTTGCATGGACGGTTGGTTCTGTGCAACAGCAGTCAGTGTCGTTGAGAAATTGTGTTGCATTGTCGACGAGGGTATGTATGCGGTTTACAAAGCAGGCGTTTCCCCTCCCTGATTTCCACGGGGGTGAAATGCGCGCGCTAGGAGTTGCAAACCCAGTCCATCCCCCGTCGCTCGTTAAAAGAAAAACCAGGAAGATACACCACTTTTCACACGCACATGCGGTATGTCAAAAGCTAAGAGTGCCGGTGTTCATGGTCAGGCGAGTATTGCCCCTCCCCTGTCCACACGGATGTCCCACGTCCCATGTAGTCGACACGCACACAGCAGTGGGGCGCCCTCAGCAGTGCTGATGCCCACTATAGTGCCGGAAATATCTCAGGAGGGCACAGCCAGAGCCCTCAGGAGTTTGGCACTATTCGGCACGATTCTGAATAAGTGTTTCGGCGGGCACATCGTACCAATCGTGTGCCGTTTGCCGTCCCCCCCTGATGTCGCTTTCTTGACTTCACCCTCCCTTTGCTCGTTTCGGGGATCACCCCAACTATGTATGCTTCGGCGTGCCGATCAAGGTTCTGGCGGCAAGAAGCAGCGCGGGGGGGTTCGCGCTTCTTTCGCGCGTCCCTGAAGAGGGGTAGCCGAGAAGAGCAGTTTTGGGGGGTGTCAACGGCGGCGGCTCCATCGATACACAGCAGTATTGCCGGTTCACGAACAGTAACTTGTGCGGAGACAACGATTGTTCGAGCATGAGGCACTGGGAGCGTGGGGGCGTGGGAGAAGTGACGCTCCATGGGCAACACTAGGGAATGAATGCAGCTCTCGAGTATTTTGTTTTTTGCAAGAACCGAATCTCTATACCCACAGATAAAGAGTCCGGGATAAAGGTAGTAAATGTTCCATTTGTGTTGTCGGGCCTTGGTGGCGCACAGTAGTTCGAGTATTGCACAACCGCTGCGGGATTCGTATCGTTTCTTGTTGGCAAGAGTGCCCGTACGTACAAGTGTCGGGTGCAGGGTCCATCGACGCACAACAGTATGTCGGAGGAGTTTCAGGATTGTCAAAGAGTTGCTCGTTTCGACTTGAGAGCGCACAGCCAAATTAGGCGTCCCTCTCTGAATCAATCGTTCGTCGGCAGCATCGACGTCCCTGCAACCGGTGCCCAGCGTTGCACGATTCCCCCGAGGCGTAAGGTTGGGGGCACAGATGAGCTGCTTCTGTGAAACTGCCCAAAGCTGTCTTGTCACACTCACAGGGCATTTCGCACAGGTGACCTGTACAGCCGTAGCTTAGCAGGCACAAGTCTTGCCAAACATTCCCCAACTGCAAACCTGGGTGTGGGTCATCTCTCGTCGAAAAATGTCAATCCAATTGGGGCAGCAGCCGTGGCCCACGGCAATCTGAAGTGTTACAACAGTTGGCCAGGAAATCGGCAGCGATAAGATTCGTTTCCTCAAGAAACTGTTTCTGATCCATCCGAAACAAAAAACACGGGCTCCCCGGTAGATGCACACACTATTAGACCAAGACGGGAGACAAGGGCCCTGGGGAAATCGTTCCTTTCTTATCAGTATCGAAGCACCCCACGCAACGCAACCAAGCTGCTCACACTTTCGTCATTTCCACTTTACAATCCTCGATGCAATCCAATATATGGGACCGCCTAGATGGGGGGACAGAGAGCGAGGTTGTAGGCAATCCATACAGACAGCTGGCCTCACTTCAATCTATCACACGCAACTATCCTCGTACAGCAATATCTCATCTATCTGGGGTGTCTATTCCCTCATCTTCCGCCTTCTTGATTCCCTGCCCACAATGCACTATAGCCCGTTTCGTTTGTGACGGTTTTACATCGGGAGGAACACCTACAGCAGTAGCGCTGTGTACGAACGTACGACCTACACATATAAATGCAACACATCACCGTGTGATGGAACAGCTACCCTTGATATCATCCCCCCCCCCCCCAACCCCCCCCAAAGGGGTGGGGGGCAAAGGCTCTTCCCCCGACCCCCCCCATTGATTTCCCCCCTTTTTTCACAAAACCCCCGGGGGGGAATTAGGGAAAAAAAAAAAAAAA